ATATCTTTATATGCAAATAAGTTCTTCTTTTTAATCTACTTCTACATTAAAAAGTCGATGTGTATACAAAAAAATTAGATTTCATTTTCTGAAAATACGTTAAGCATTTCAAACTAAAATATTGTATAAATAAAATAACGTGATAATAAATTACGTCACTTTTGATGCGGCAAACGAAATTTATCGCTCGTACATTATACGAAACATTGCTCCAGATTTTCCCGTATGCATGTTTATCCCGATAATCGCATCGCGTCACGTCGCATTGCCCTACGTTGCTTATCCCCCGAAAGCTACCGCAATCTGGATCAAAGCCGTTGCTGCAGGAACGTGCAGACCAGCTCGAGGAGCAATCCTTCTTGCCGAACTGACGGGCGAACATACGAGATTTCCTTGCCTAGCTGTATCTATCCCGATCATGTTCAACATCCGTCTCTTTTTTCCTTAGCAGCGAAAACGAAAGGATGATCCGGTTAGAATTCTAAGCAAAAAAACCAAGTTCATTGCGACCAACTCGAATCCACGTTTTATTCAGTCGCGGATTGCCTCTGCGAAAATCGGGTCTGATCTAATTTCGTACGCGCGACCTCGACGAGAAAGCTCTATCTCCTGCAATTGATGGTACGATTTCGTATCTGGCTGATCTCTATTCTCCCTGGCTCCGAGTGTGAATTCCGACTGGCATTTCTCGACCGTTAAGTGTCGGAAAACAGAATTACGAGGTCTGGGAATATTTTTCAAGTACTCGCGACAATGTTCTTTCAACGACCCTATCTTGGTGGTCGTGTTAAGTTACTGCTCACATTAAGCTATTCTCTTAAAATTTATCACTTATTCGATATTTTGATATCTTAATAGAATAGAGCGATGTTATTTCATCGATTTCAACATTAAAGTAATATGTAAATTTACAACGGTATAAACAATATCTCTTTACATGTTTACTACATTAAACAATCATGATGATTTCTTGATAGTACAAGCATAAGCTTTAAATATTCAATATATGCTGTTCGTCAGAAACAAACATTATTTAATTAAATATGAAAATTTCTATATTCGATCAAAGCAGAATCTTAGTGTTTAAATATTTCTTGAATTTATATACATAGGTATCTGATTCTGCATATTTTATACGCCGAAATTATTTTCGGTCTTGAAAAGACGCTACCATGAGTAAAAGAATAGTAACTTTATTAAATTAACTTTATTAAATTAACAAGCAATTTAATAATTATTTTTCGATATTACTAAGCATTTTTTATAAGAATATTAATAATTACATGTTAATGAGAATCTTAAAATTTTCATATAATCAACTAGAATTTAAACCTAGAATTTTCAATTTTCTAGGACGAGCGTCATATCGATTCGATGAATATTATCGCGAGAAATGGACGAAAAGTCTTAATCTTATAATTGCACCCTAGTATAATTGAATAATTACAATAAAAATTAAGATGTCACATAAATGTCACACTGGCATTATACAAGAATCGTTTTAAAAGGTTCTTGTTCAACAAGGAATATATTCTGAGCATTAGTATTTCTTCGGCGGCGAAAGATAAATTGTCTTACGTATCGCTTTGCTCGTTTTAAATTCAGCACGATGCATTCCATCCATGAAGAGTTCCCTTTTTTCGCTTTAACTTTAGCTTTCCTTGCCGCAGTTCTTAACTATGATGTTCGGATAAAAACGCAAGACACGAAAATGGTTATAAAATGGAATTTGATATGGAAGCATGGAAAGAACTTGGCTTCTCACTCCGCTTTTGTTCTCATAAAGTATCCCCACCTTCTCGCAATTACACTTGCGCAAAATACGCTGACTATTATTCCATGATAAAGCAAACGTGTTTTCTCGAGTGTCATCCTGCGGACATTATTTCGCAACGTGGCATCCTTTCCCTCTGCAAAATATCATTTGTTTTGTTTGCGAGAGCACTCGCAAAAATCTGCGTATTTCATGCACAAGAGAGAAAGTGAGAGGAAGAGAGAGAGAGA